CAAATCATGATTAGAGCGGTACCTTCTCGTATACTGAAAAAAATCCATGAAATTATTGCCTACTGCCCGATTCCAAAGCTGCCGCTTTCTCGATTTAATATTGCCCCGTTGGAGATGCCACCTTCCCGGCTACCTAGTAGGAAATACGTGAAACTTGCAGGCTTGCCACATCAGAACGTTACATATTGGGCCATTCTAAATAAGGTTGTACCCATTTCTTGAAATGTCAAGCAATTTCAAGGATTTGGGGGACATACCCCGGAGTTATCATCCCAGTGTTTTAGCTTGATGTTTTGATAACTGTTATTATATCGCCGCAGTACGCGATCCGAAATTCTCACAAGGATGGCGAGTGATGGATAAGACTTCAATCTCGGACTGGACTCAAACCCGTACTTGTGCTTACCTACTTGATGTGGTTTCAATTTATATGGCGCCTCAGCACTCGACTTCCACTCAGAATCGTAGTGGCACAATGAGCGCGTATATGGCCCATACAATGACTTGCGGTGGCCAGCCAATGTACAAGTCAGTGCTTTTATCCTCCCAGACGATGTGGTACCAATTAACCGACCCCGGAGGGATGGAAGGCTTTGTTGGCCTAGGCGGATACCGACCCGGGATTCGAACCCCTGGCCATGCGTGTGAGATAGTGCGCCACTTACCACTGCACCAGCTCCGCCGTTAATATGATCATTGGGAAGAATAATTAGTTCTAGTGTTTCGCAATGTTTCGACAAAAATGGCTGAGATTACTGGTCAGAAGTTATGTAGCAGAAGTCAAAACCGTATCAGCACACTACTGTTTTGAAAAAAGAAATAAATCCTGGAAAGTAGGGCATGCGTGACTGTGCTCCTCCTTTATACCACTCTAGCGAAAAAGTTAATGCTGTAATGGAATGGGAATGGTGACTTATCCGGACACATGAACCACTTCACAGAGGGCTGGGCTCATTTCATGTGGCTCACATCAATCATTCAAATGATTAGAGACTGATTATTCCAATTCCCACCACTTTCCCAGTCTTGCCCAAGAAAGTACCTTCCTACATTCCAAACTTTATTCCATTTATGAGATGCACATTTCAGTTCATATGCAGTACCACCACTTTTTACGACTACCTCTGAGTCGCTTTTTACGCCACTGAGTTAAGCGTTTGCAAATTTTATGGAAGAATAGAAAAAAGAGCACGTCATGGAAATGCCAGGATCACTTGACTCGCAGTCTGCGGTTTTCAATTTCCTAAAAGGTGAACCTACTTCTATCAGCACGAAACCGAACGATAGTTCCGTTATAGCTTCATATTTCAACTTGAACAGCTATATATTGAGTTACAGTGGGTGAGGAAGGCCAAGCGAAATTGGAAATTTATTGGGGAGATATGCGAAACCAAAAAAAGCATGGTGCTGCTTCCCACACGTCATAGAAAGGCATGTAGATCAGTAATCTCGCTCTATTTTCACTTTTTCTATAGCAAACACGTCTGCCACTGATAGTATCCTCCTCGAAAATTTCTCCGACTTTCAATCGAATATATATCAAGTAAATTCTTATTTCCCATAGTCTTATTTTCTCTGCTTTGCCATCTTTCCCCATTTGTCATTCTTAAGCAATTCCTCTACGTATTCATGAGGTAAAAACGCCGCTTCTCCTTTCCCATTCATGCCTCTTTCCCTTCAGTCATGTAAGCCTTCATACAGCAATATTAATGCAATTCACCCCTTTACCATTGTTTTGAACTGGGAGGGGTTTTTGGTACGTGTCGCACTATCCCACGCATGGTGCGGGGATCGAACTTTGAAGGATACCCGCTCAGGCTACCCAAGTCTCCTATCCCTCCGCTTTGACCTGGTTACCAGCCTCGTCTGGGAAGGTAGAAGCACTGACTTTTACATCTCCCGGTCACTGTAGTACATTGTATAGACCACATACATGCGTATGCAAGACCCCACTACGATTCTTAACAAAAGTCGAGTGCGGGTGGATGAAAGGGGAGGGGGACCAAAGAACGAGATTGAAACGTTTTGATTTTTGATTCTTGGTTCTGTTTCCTCTGACAGTCTATGTAATTCTTCTTCTCTTTTCTTGAGCCGATAAAATGTTTGAACCACCGCTCAGGCGTTTACGGAGGAACTCAGACGAGTTTCCGAATTTTAAGCATATTTATACATGAATCGAGCGGAAGTGACCGATACTAGAAAATCGAATAATCGGATAATTTGACTTTTTGACATATCGCTAGGCACTCACAACTGTTCTGGATTTCATTTGCGTCATCTGCAGACGTCAAAACTTCTATTATTAGGTCGTGAAGAAAGTTCTTGCGTTTTTGCGCCTCAAACTTCAAATGTACATATCTCGGCTTAAACAAAACTTCATAAAACGAAATAACAACCATTACTATCGACACACATTTGCTAACGAGAAACAAGTTAGTTTACCCCATTCGCGTAGAATTCCGGAGATCTAGAGGAGATGAAATCGTCGAATGCCGCGGCAGCATCATGTTTAGTTTTGAAGCATTTCTCCTTGAGAAAGCCGTCGAGATGTTTAAAGAAATGGTATTCTGTGGGGGCAAGGCCTGGGGAATATGGTGGATGCGGGAGAGTTTCATAGCCTAGCTCCATCAATTTTCTCAGGGTAAGGTGTGCGACGTGGGACCGAGCGTTGTCGTGGAGTAGAATTGGACCCTTTCTGTTCACCAGTGCCGGGCTCATGAGCCGGAGTTTTCGATGCATTTCATCAATTTCTTGTCAGTACTTCTCGACTGTTACGGTTTCATCCGGATTCATGGAGCTGTGGTGGATCAGCTCGGCTGCAGATCACCAAACCAGCACCATGACCTTCTTTCCATGGTGCTTCGGCTTGGGAAAATGTCGTGGGGCTTGATCCTTGTACAGCCACTGGCCTGATCGTCGCCGGTTGCCGTACAGAATCCTCTTCTCATCACACGTCACAATACGGTCTAGAAATGGATCGTTCCTGTTGCGCAGAAGCAAGGCGGAGGCGAGCTCGTAGCGGCGGTCTTTCTAGTGCTGAGTCAACTCATGCGTCACCCACTTATCGAGCTTCTTCGACTTCCCGATCTCCCGCATGTGGGTGCCGACCGTCCTGCTAGAAACACTCAATCTCGAGCCAATATCCTTCAGCGTTGTACGTGGATTCTCTCCCATTAACGCTCTCAATTATTCGTTGTCAACGGCCGATGGCCGCTCACTACGCTCATCATCTTCCAGGCTCTCATCGCCGGTACGGAATTTTTTAAACGACCACTGTGCTGTGCGTCAATTCGTCGTACCTAGATCTAAGTCATCGTTGATATCCCGGTCCGTTTCCGTTGCACTCCTGCCCATTTTGAATTGGAAAAGAAAAATCGTGCGGATCTGTCNTCCTTGCTACCGTGTTCACATTGTTGATACAAATTTCCAACGCTTCAAATTTTTTGTCGCAGGACTTATTTGCCAACCTAATATTTTCGAGTTCACAAGCGATCTTCGATCTCAGAACCTTTCCATGTCGTTGTGTTCGATACATTTTCCTAGTACTGGTACTATTCCCCCGCCACCCTCAAATCATTCATCTTCAGGCCAGTTCAACTGCGTACACGACATTCGTCACGGATCAAACGAGCACGAACACGGCCGAGGCGGACTCTATTGATAGATCACGCCCAACACAATTCATCACTTTCAAAACGACTAGAAAGGTAATATTATTATCGAAAATGGAATTGGAGACGGAGAAGGGGGGGGGGGTCACTAGTTTCCGTGCTGTAGAGACACAGAACTGTAGTATCCCTATCGTTTATATCACTCACATAAGCTTTGAACGCGGGGTCTTTTCTACTCCTGTGTTATCTGCCCTTAAGCTCAAAAAGTTTTTCCTTCGCCCTCTCCTAGCCGCTCCCGCGTTAACTATCCCTGTGGTTCAGGACATTTTCGTCGCATCATTTGGGGCAATTTGATAACAGTCAAAGCTGCGCTCTGGCCCACAGTGACAGGAACGCTGAGCACAATGGAAACACAGTTCCAACTTTCCACTCCCACTCCCACTGAGCCGCTCATGTACTTTTCAACCACTGGCTTTGGTTGAGCCAACACGTAGAATAGCAACAACACGCGAAAATGTGCACACGTATGCATGAGTACGCTTGGGAGAATAAGTTAAGTTGAAATTGGCTAGCCAATGCAGTGCCCATTCACTCGGTGACCCACACCATGTTTCAAAACCGGAATGGGGTGGGTGAATTTCTAAGAAAGCGATTTAGAAATTCCCCATTTTTAAATGCATTCTCTCTTGATAGAGATTCATTGCTTTCTTGAAATGTGATAACCACTAAAAACCAACAATTCAAGGGTATCTTTGTCCATATGCTGTGGTCATACTCGTTTCTACTCTATTCCTTATGCCAACACCTCGCTCTATTTATAATTCACTGCTCGTTGGGGGTTTACTTGGGAAAGCAGAAAAGAGGCAAACCGGTAGCGGCTATGACTCCCATGTCTCTGCCTCCCTTTTATCCCCTCGTAGGAACTATCAACTCGTACAGGTGAACTGTCCTCGTTAGCTGCTTTCCCAGCACGTGCAGTCATGTCCACATACTCCATGTTCAACATCGTGGAGGGGATGAGAAAAACTTTCTGGCGTGCAGTGTCTGTCTCGTAGAGATTGCTTGGCCTAGGTGGATAGTCTGTGTAGATATCAAATCATCACTTGCACTGTGGTCAATAAGGCCAGTCATCAGTCTTGTTGCACTATTAGTCCTCTACATGAAACCTACTTTTCACCAGCTTTCTCAGCGATTGTAGTGTGTTTAGGGAACTTTGCCAGCTTTTTAGGTTGCTTAGCCTTTTACCAAAAAAAGCAACCGACAGCTGTGGAAAGAACATGGAAAGATATCAGTTTCAACTCCTTTTTAAATGAACTTTAGACAGAAGGTCGGTTGCGTTTCGCGTGGCTGCCGCGCGACTAATGTCACGCGAATGCTCCTGATTGCTCCATGGACCAGCAACTCCGCGAGATCGAGGGCCTGCTGGAAACGAGTGCACATCCAGATTCCGAAGACCTTCCCACAAAAATCAAAAAGGTTGGTTCTTAACTGTTCCCGAATAACTTGGACGCTACCTTCTCTAAATTGAAACCTTGCGCATATGGATGACATTTGGACAGTGTGGACTTCGTGATTTTCTTGAAATAATGTCGCTTCAACAATTCATTAGTGCGGTCACTTCCACAACAATGCTTAAATCTTGTTTTCAGTACGTCAAGCTCGTCCTACCACATGTGGCCCTCGTTGCCGTTGTTTGTTTGTATGCAGTGATCGGCGCATATATTTTTTACCGACTTGAATCACCTAACGAAGATCGGGTACGTTCAAATACGTAACTTGCATTATATGAATATAAGGGAGGTAAAGGAGCGTTAAAGCACCTTTCACGACGAAAATGACTTATCATATATCCCGCTAGGATAAATCTGTGACCTTCTCGTATACGTGGCGCTGTAAGGTCGGAATTCTGCCTAGATAGGGCGTTATAAAGTCGCAAAGGTTGTTCCGTGTGTATACGCGGACGAGTTTCAACGGCATTGCAGAGGCTGCCACCATACCCATGTAGGCAGTTCAAACGACTCGTCATGACCCCCAGCCACAGACAGAGGCATTCTGGACAGATTTGACCCAATGAGGCCTGCTAGCTACCCAATTGTGACAACTGAAATCTCGTCCGAGTACTCTCCAATGTTATTTCTATTATGTTAATCTCGTAGAACCTCTATTTTCACTACTTTTAATGGGCTTTATTCTTTGCAAATTCATCCATTTTTCTTGCTTCCTTTATCAACGATGCACTACTCCATATCAGTACTTCTGCTTTTCGGATTAAAAAAGGTGTCCTAAATGATCGTGAGCGATGCCTTCAACGAGAAAACTCATAGTGATTCCTAATAAACACTAGCACTTAACAGCATTAATTACACCATGGCATTAACGCTAAAAATCATAGTTGCCCCCAAACATATCGGTCAAGGCTGAAATAATTTGCATGACCAGCTCATTTATTGTTATGGCTTCCTATAACGGTCACTTCTTCATCGAATCATCTTCATTAGGCTCCTGGTATTGCATGGCCGTTTTTTGGATAACAAAATTGTGAAGCCACAGACATAGCACAGCAGATGATTCGATGACACACTCACATGATTTATGTACAGCTAACTACCCTTCAGTGAGCTTGGCATCATGAAATTTAACCCTATCGTGACCATTTTTGGGCAGCTGTCAATTTTGTTGAAGCACATTGAGCTGTCAAAAACAAATGCAATAATTTTGGATAAATTTGTTTGTAACTGTAGCCCACCTTACTGTGGATATTAGATAAATAAATAAGTTTTTATATCTGAAGCACTATCTGCATGACTCAAAGGCTCTGGCTTCATTCGTAGCTCATAAGGGCTGAGGGATGCAAGTTATGCATCGTGACTTCAAACCTTAGCATTTCGACGGACATTGTATAGACTGTTCCTTATGTATTGAGAACCTCGAATAAAGACTGACCCCTCGGTAGCTGCAACTACTCTCTTTCACCCGCAAGCAATCTATCAGAAAAGACTTGGAGCTCAAAACAAGCTTAGGGGAGACGGGCAGTAGGAACGGTTTTCTAAGATCGATACGCCGCGGACCTTCGTTCGCCGTTATTTCAGCTCTAGCGTTCTTCAAACAGCTCAATCGATACGCGATCCTTATTTTAGTCATGATTCTAATGTGAGTTCCTTCGTTCCTGTTTTTCTCACTTTCTGCTGCCTTCTGCTGGATTTCTTCGCGCGCGGCATCCCTCTCGCCGCGGCGCGACAATTTCGTTCCTACTGCACCACACCCGAAACTTAGGATCTTTTTCTCCAAGTTTGGATGTGAAATCAACGGTATTACTAACTCATACACTGATGTTTCCAGCTCAAATCTGTTGGCAAGGCGTTGATTGGTGACATGCGGAACAATTTGATAGCGATGATTAGAGACGGTAAGTTTTAAGCCAATTTCTCTTTGAGTTCATTGACATTGCATCACATTTTCGCTTAGCAGCTATTGATTGTTTATTTTTATTTATTGACAGTGAAAAGAGTCCTTAAAGTCGAGAGACAGTCCTCATGAAGAGCCTATACAAGTGATTTATTCGTTTTTCCAGTCTGACAGTCGATTGATTTTAAGGAAGAGGCAGTAAGGAGGTGTGGAAAGACTCTATTGAAGGAGAATTGTACCGGTTCAATGATAAAATTTACAAAGCATTCAAAGAACAATATGTACGGTGAGTCTTCGTGGACATCACTCGATAAGCTCTCAGCTCAATGAATGTGTTACAGATATGCCGACGTGCGTATAACTCCCAATCAGGAATTGTCGCTACGAGTTGATGATTCGGACCGCCCTAAAAGACACAGGTTTATTGTATTTTTATTTGGATTGAATATCATTTTCTAACGTAGATCTGCGATTGAATAGAGTCCAACGTCTTTTTTTTTCCTCTCCCTACTGTTGATTCGACATAAGTGCAGGGTTTGCTATTAATGGTTGTTGTCGCCACTTTTTCTATTTACCTCATCTCCTGCCCTTACCTTGGCTACGAAGAACTTTTCCTAAAAACGTCTTTTCATCTTTTCTTAGGGCTACTCGTAGTCGCTTCCCTTGGGCTTCACATCCCATTGCTTCATATATCGAGCTCTTCGTAGCACGTGGCCATACCGTACTTGAGCATCCATGTGAAGCTGAACTGGAGCTGTTTGTAGAACTGTTCCGAAGTCTTAGTTTCTGATCCGATCTAGTCGAGCCGAACCACAGGTTCATCTGAGCACACTCATTTCTGAGCGAGTTGCCTCTCATGAATCTTGCCTGCGTGGAAGGGAGCACTTGTTGCCTTAAGGCATTGACCCTCAATCATTCAGGCAGAGGATGCCAATGAATTCCTTCTACTTATACTCGCCACAGTTTTACAGCCTGAACCAGCTACCGTTAGCGGCTAATTCAGTAGCCAAGTATAGGAATTCTTGAATTTTTCATAACTTTCTGAGAGGCACAGTTTATAAGAAATGATTGCTGAGATTTTCCCCTTGGATAATCCCGTGATCTTCAGGGAACAGGGGACACTGTCGGGTCGAAAAATGGTCAACATAGGACGTAATTAAGGAAACCGGCTCAGCCGACGTACTCTTCTAAAGCGGACGAGTTAATAGAGGAGCAGTTCACGATATGGTTTCCGAGATTTCCCCATAGCAGAGTTTGAGGTCCCCTCGTATACCATAAGGTCGAAAAACGGCCTAGTCACTGAGTTATTAAGGCTCAAAGATTTCACCGGGTTTATACTCGGACAGTTTCGCGGCATGGTAGAGGCTGCACCTATCACAAGAGAACCCATGTAGGTAGTTTAAACAACTTGTCATAAACCAAAGCGACAGTGAAAAGCAGATCTGTATAGTTCTGGCTTTATGTAGTCAGCTCTTTGCTCAACTGCAACAACTGAAATCCCGTCCGAGTGCCCCATCCATGTTATTCTTGTCATGGTAGTCTCGTCCAACCTGCACTTTCCCTACTTTTGAGGAGCCATATTTTTTCGAAATCGGCGAATTCTCTCGCTTTCTTCACTACCGATGAACTGAGCCCAACATATACTTCCACTTTTCGAATAGATATGGTACCTCAAATTTATCGTGAAGTGTGCCTCTAAGCGTTGTGATCTTTGAAAAGGTTGCACTGTCCGCACTGAGACCCATTAATTACACGTAGACAGCTTATTGCAGTGAGCTGTATCAGTGGCGTGCCCATTGAAACAGCTCATCCAAATTTTCCTTCCATGAAGCTTCTGTCGTCAAATTCTCGTCCGACCCCTTATTTTACAATTTTTAAACCTTAGATTTCTTTGAACGTGTCGATCTCCGCGGTTTATTAGTCACTTTTACACTATTCTTGTGCGAGTGGTTCAGTGGTTATTTATTAGGGCTCCGGTGATAACGGAGTGAATCTAACACAATATATAGTAAGTGCGGTCGTTCCCGCTAGTAAAGCCCAGAATAATGGTAACAAATACCTTATCAGACAGTTAACTTACGTCTTGCCGTGACGCTGATATAGGAAGAGGAGTGCGGACCCACCTATCTCGGGTCCGCTTGA